CATGCATCAGTCGTTACCCAACCCTGCATACAGTGTTCCTCGCATCCATGTCAACGGCACCCACCTGAGGACCGTGGACAAATGCGCCTACTAAGGCAGCACACTCTCATGCTGCATCAAAGTTGACGAAAAGTGGCTCATCTGATCTCTACCTTAAACTAGGCCTTTGGCCGGCTACAGAATTCCGTATGGAATCACCACGGTCTCTACCTTAACACCAAATTGAAGATGTACAAAGCGGTCATCTTAACGACTTTGGCATATGGCGCGGAGACTTTGAAGTCTACGATAAACAAGCTCGGGGACTCAATCATTTTCATCTCAGTTCTCTCCGCCGGATACCAAATATGGGAGGGAAGGACAAGATCCCAAACACAAAAGTTCTGGAACGGACTGTAATCCGCAGCATCCATGTCATGTCGAGGGAGTAGGGAACTGCAGCCTTGATGGATCGGTCACCTCGTGAGAATGGACAACGAGGTACTACCTAAACAACCCTTCTATGGGGATGTCGACACAGGTGCTCACGGACAAGTAGGTAGAACCGCCCGCTATAAGGACACCTAGAAAAATTCCTCGAAACCAGAGACTCGGGAAGACCTCGCGCAAAACGGATCGGCCTGGGGAAAAACAGTGGAGACTAGAACTGCCATCTACGAACCCAGACGCATCGTCACTACCAAAATCAGAATAGGAGCTTGGAAGTCAATCAACTGTCCATCGACCAGCGCGCCCACCAATAACAGCATTTCAACGTCAACCGACCCCACACTACCCCAGCCTATCCTGCTCACATTGACACTGCGTGTCCACCTCTTGCATCGATCTGGTCGGTCATTTGCGAAGCCATCGCAGAGAGGCCGACGGACCAGTGTCTGGAGCACCAAAATACACCAGACGCCAGCGTCTTAATTGTCGGCATTGACCTAGCGCATTCAGTCATCGCACGGACCTACTCGGTCGCATGCGCATTCATTAAGGTATGCGGTAGAAAATCGCGGCTGCAACATATTGCTACCTCTCTCCTCATCAATACCAACAGAACAAATGTCCACATCCAACACCACACAATGCAAGCGCGTCATTAGCACCTTTTACGTAAGTTGAATGTGTGTTCCTCGGTTCCCTCTTCAAGTGGCTCTCTGACGTATTTGTGACCCGAACCCTTTATGCGAACGGTTATTGAAATATAATGTTCCAGTGACGACAGATGGAGGTTGGAATCGTCATTTAAGACGGTAGCGTTTTGTAGTCTGGGACGCTTTGAAATCACAACGAATCCGAAGATAGCCAAACGAACCAGCGGGTGCCTCGAGTGTCATTTGTTAATGCAAACATGCCAGCAAGATTAGTGGCGTTGATCTAATTAACTTGCGGCATTGTCTTCTTGCAATCTTGACGGTTCGCCTTGTCTTTCCAAATTTGATCGGCTTTAAATACTGCTACTCCTGATTATACGACTGCACTTTAAGCTCCCCGGTTTATGCAAGAGCATCCTGAGTCTCCTGGTTTATTCTGGCATGCTTGAGAGACGTCGTCAAAATGACCTTACATTATTACTTTTATTCACCTAGCCTCCTAACAGCCGCGCCGGCATTATCGCAGAATAGTTGTATGGACAGAGGCTCGCCACCCATTCTTATCGCACGACCGTTCCATCACCCTTGAGGTTACTTAGCATCTCAATAATGCTAAGAAAGATAGTTCTCTCCTTACACATTTTTTTGCCGTTTTACGTCTCTTGACTCTCAGTATTCTTCGGAAACGACTGAAGTGAAAATGATTTAGCTTATTCGCATGGTTTTCGTATGCTTTTTTGTATCTTCCGTGTACCAAGGGTTACCCAAGACAGCAGCCCCATGCGCGTTCAGTGACTATTCCATCTAGCATTTTATAGTCAGCTGAAGGCCTGGCTGGCTTTGGAAAACAAACTGGTAGATCTGTCATTGGTTTTGATGTTTCATGGTTTAGTACTCTCAAGGAATGCAAATTTCCTCGGATGTGAGAAGGGCATCAATGTAAGTTAACCATTAGTTCGTTGCATTCAAATGCCGATGCCCATCGTTACATAACTACTGTTTTTCCCCTGTTATTCCTCAGTTCAACATGCAACGTCTATGCCCTGCCTTCTATCCGGTTCGGTTGTGGTGTTCAGTGTGGAATCGTCGACAAAGAGCTTGGTTTCAAATACCATTGTTTCAATCACATGCTTCATGTGCCGAACAATTTCATTTCCTCTAGGTAGTTGTTGCGGATCCCAGGTCGTTTGTTATAGCGCACATTCATCAGCATGACGATGGCATATGGCTAGAGGAGGTGGGAGTAGGTACACAATCCCGCTTCACGCCATTTATCACAACAAACAATTCAAGAACTGGCATATTCTCTCTCTCTCCCTGACAAACTTCATCATGCCGCCGTATAAGTTTCCAACTCTCCGCATAAATCGAACCGATCGTTCGCATTTCATCATGATTTTCCATAGTTCTTAGCAAGTTACGGCCCAAAAAGTCCTTTTCTCTGTGGAAAAATAACAGTGCAGAAGCTGGCTTTTGTTTCCTGTTATTTTTCTCACAATGCTCAGATTCTGAATGAAAATTCCGTAAATCCGCAATGATAGTGCAACCCTAACTGTGCTAGTTCCTGATCCACCAAAGCATTTGAACATTCAAGAGGGACATTATTTGACCTCTTGGTTGCAATACTCAAAATGAATACCCGCAATAGTATCAAAAACTTGATGGCTATTCTTTTACTGGTAGATTTTGACAGGGAGGTATCCTTGAGGTCTTGCAGTATTGGTCTGTCTCTGCATCTCTGAAAAGGCAAGATCAGCCTATTCAGTAATTACGGTCTGTCATGTTTGTAGACTTCTCCGTGAGAACTGAATCGATGCTGCGGATTGCCAGCTGCATACCTGCTGACTGCGCTGATCTCTTCCTTTAGATAGACTAGGCGATCACAGATAACATTTTTCGTCATCTGAGATGACCTGACTATCGCACATTTTGCATGTTAATGACTGAGGACTTCAGCTTCTCTGCACTCTTATCCACTGTTGAAGCATTTATCTTGTCTGACACCTTGATTGGAGTCCGCCTGCGGGATCGGAGATGCAGACTCATCCTCAAGATGACAAGCCGGTCATCCGCCCAACATTCTGCCTCGCATACTGTCATTTCGGGACGAATATGTAGTCCAACAGTTGCCGGCAGAGCAAAATAGTGTGTATCCGGATGGTCTGAATGTTCAGTTGAATGATGATGGTTTCAGCAATTAATTCGATTTATACAGTGGAAAGCAGTGGTGACGATGCAATTGTGTTCTGTGCATGCCTGGAAAAGGCGGATCCGTTGCTCCTGCGGTTGCTTACGCCGTGGTGATTTATCCCTCCCTCCTAGGTCACATGGCTTATATCGATGTGAACATTTAGGTAGTTGGGGACAACTAATTTGCTCGTCTCTAACAGGGACTTGAAGAGAGCGTGCCGATCTTTGTGGGGTTTGTCCGTCACATGCTGATGGCCTGTCGTACGAGCGTTGATTATTGGGGCGAATTTATCCCCGCACAGCGAGATTCGAGTTGTCCTATGACTATTTTTGAGTTCCTTTAGGAGAGAAGTCAAATACCTGACAACGTCATCTACGATGACAGAGGTAATTCAGGCACCTCACTTATCTCCCTGAACATTCTGTCCGGAGGAAAGTTTTCTCTATTTTGAAAGACGTGTCTCTTTGAAGCCACGATGGATGGAGCTGGTGTTGTTTCTCTTTGGTTTGTTTTGGTCGCGTGCACCACGACTAGCAGTCATAACAAGCTCCGCAGACAATGTGAACTTATATGCTTTGGGGCTTATTTTAGAGCCCTACCCCGGTGAGATGGCAGGCGGTAGGGCTGGTAAGATATCGCAGGCCGCCACCGAGCTTCATCTTGACTTACGGCTGGTTTAGGAGAAAGGCAACACGCGGTGGTCTGTGGCGCAAGGACACTTGTCAGAGTGCGGTCTTTCTGCAGAACACAACTTTACTGCAACCCCATTTAAGACTTTGATCTATGCGGGACGCAGCGCAGAAATATCCAGCAAGTCAAACAATGCGTTCGGAGAGACGAGAAACGCCATAAGTGAGAAAATGCCATTTTAAAGCATCAATGAATCTAGGGTAACCGCACGACTGAAACGTGAATCCTCGAGCCATTAAACACTGCATCCCCCGGAAAAAACATGGGTTAACCACAGTAATTAAACAAATGATTTCCTTAAAACACGCATCTGCCGCCATGCGACGCTGGCAGTGAAATCCCTACGACTCTTAGCGCCAGCTTTCGCTGTGGTAGCGTCGTCGCTATGTCAAAGCCCAGCCCCAGCACACAAAGTATGTATAAGTCGGAGGTAAGTGCGCGTAAACATAAGTAGCCATTCCAACTATGTGACCACGCATTCTTATTTTCGTAAAAATACTTTATTTCTGTCATCGCACCGACCTCAGTGTCATTGCGCTCTCTCAACTTGCTGTCGGATATTCTGCATTGTTGCTCTTCTAGTGCAAAACAGCGTTTAAAATGCCCATCTTCATGAACAGCATCGGTCGTTTCCATTTCCAAGCCAATGGATTGTGATACTGTTACGCCGTCTCTCTTCTCATGATCGTCTTATCTAGCCTACAAACCTAATTAAGTTTATTAAAGCCGTTCTCTTCCCGCCCGTCTCAGATTTCCAGTTTGCAACTGTTGATCACAGCCTCACTGTCTTCCGCTTTTTGGCGTGGAAAGTCGTCTTAACTTCATTTCGTTCGGCAACCAGTTGCCATTGACAGCACTAAGATTCAGAAGTAAATTCCATATTTTAAGGTATTCTTTTTTGTCACGCTAAGAACCGAATGCCAACCATCGGAGAGTTGCTTGTGTGCGTTGACATAAGTTGTAAAAGACGTCAAAATTAGAGCTTTAATGAAGTAACCTGTTTTAAAATATGTGAAATTCTGATATATCGTACGCTTGCTCCCTGGATGACTCAGTAGGAAAAGTATTTCAGACCTTTAAGAGTTCTTTGTTTAAGCATGTTTCGACTGATGCAAAATCCACTTTTTGCTGACTCTGATGACTATAAGTAACCAAGTAAGCATCTTTAACAAGCCTTGCTGAATCTCCATGCCTAGTTTGTTCCGCCGCCGTCTTTTATTAGTATGAAAAGCGTTTTATCTCAGAGCGTATGCAATGGTGCTCCACCCTGGATTGGCCTAACCTTCCTCCCATAGCAGCCGATCGTCGGTGCTCTGGTCTCGGCCTCTTCCTTCAGTCCTTCCTTCTGGCAGACTGTCGTTAGTCCCGTCTACACGACGAGACAACTAAACTTACCGAATGGGGCATCTCTTCTTCTGACGCATCCTGTCAACCAGCATCCCGAACCCTAAATCTGAGAATCCGTGCCGGGGACTCCTTGCCAAGTACTCTGAATTCACCCGTTCCACCTTCAGCGTCTCCACACCATACGACGTTGTTCACCACAGTCAGACCACTGGTTCTCCCATGTTTTCTCGGACCCGCCGTCTCGCGCCTGCACGTCTTGCTGCCTCCAATGCTGAATTATAGCACGCGTTTCAGATAGGCATCATCCGTCAATCTGAAAGCTCACGGGCCTCACCCCTCCACACGGTTCCCAAGGCGGCCACCGGTGACTGACGTCCCTGAGATGATTACAGGGCCTTGGACGGCTTTGCCGTCCCGGATCGCTGCCTTGTCTCACATATTCGGGATTTTGGCAGCGCCCTATTTGACAAATCTGCGTTCTCGAAGACCGACCTGGTCCGTGCCTTTCACCAAATCCCTAGTGCCCAGGAGGACCTTTCGAAGACGGCCGTTACCACTCCCTCTGGGCCCTTCGAGTACCTGTGCGTGCTGTTTGGACTCTGCAACGCCTCCCAAACTTCGGAGATAGGGTTTGTCGCTGCATACCGTCTTTTTATGCCTATACTGACGACCCGTCGATAGCCAGCTCATCCGCTGAAGAACACATGGAGTATCTTATGACGGTGTTTAACCGCCTTCAACAATTTGGCGTTGTTCTAAACCCTCCAAATGCGTTTTCAGCGTCCCTTCCCTCGAGTTTCTTGGAAATCTGGCTGACTGCAACGGCATCCACACTCTTCCATCAAAGGTTTAGGCTATACGTCGTACCCCACCTCCCTCTTCCAAACGTCAGCTGTAGTGATTTCTGAGCATGGTGAATTTCTACCGCCGGCCCCTCCCGCACTAGGAAGACACCATTCTGCCGCTTACGAGCCTCCTCTCGGACCCCAAAGGTTCATTTGTGCTTTCCGCAGACGCCCTCGTTCCTTTTGACAAGGTGAAGGCCGTCCTAGCCGACGCCACCCTAGCCACGCATTCTGTTACCGATGTCGCCATCTCCCTCATGGTTGATACCTCCAATTTTTCAGTCGTCGCGGTTCTCCAACTGCACCTTGCAGGTCACACCCAACCCTTTGCTTTCTTCTCCAGGAATTTGTCATCTGCCGAGACGCGCTATAGCACATTTGGGCAGGGGCTCCTTGCTGTCTTTCTCGCCACACTTTCGGCACTTCCTTGAGGACAGAGACTTCACGGTCTTCTCGGATCATGAGCCCCTTTCCTTCGCTCTCAAACCTACTTCTGACAAGCTCAACCCCCGGAAAATTCCCCAACTGGACTACATCTCGGATTTCACTTCAGGCATCTGTCATACAGAAGGGTCACGTAATGAGGTGCCACCATCGCAAATCTCCAACTTTTCCTGTGATGGACTAAGCCGAGATGATTGCTGAGCAACGCCGTGTCGGTCCTCCCCTTGACGAGCACGTTTCCGAACTCCAACTCCAGGACCTGCCACTGACCACTGCCAACAACACCATCCTGTGCGACGTCTCCAGGGCCTCCCCCTGTCCCTTTGTGCCGTCATCCCTCCGACGCAAAGTCTTCTCCCTGCACAACATATCGCGCCCTGGGAGTCTAGCTACCTGCAAGTTGATTTCCAACCGCTTCGTCTGGCCTGGGATGCACAAGGAAGTGAAAGAATGGACACGGGCGTGCCTCGGCTGTCATCGGAGTAAGATTCAACGACAAAACAAAGCCCCCATCGGCATCTTTCCTACTCTGGATGCACGATTTAGTCACGTCCGCCCGGACATTATACGCCCACTGCCCCTGTCGAACGGCTGCTTCTATCTCAACTGTGTGGATCGATTTCCCCCGTTACCGGAGGCTATCCCTCTGCCCGATGTCGCTTCTCCAACAGTCAAGGATTTATTCGGCCGTTAGGTTGTCATTTTTGACGTCCCCTTCACAATTACAACTGGTCGCGTTGTCCAGTTTTGATCTCACCTAGTCCAGTCACTTTTCTCCTTTTAGTCTATACATCCCATCATTTGGCAGCCAACGGGATAGTCAGGCGGTTCCCCCGCCAGCTGAAGACCCCCTACGCTCCGCAGGCGATTCGAAAAACTGAACGGACCACAGTCCCTTGGTCTGCATGCCTTTACGCCTATTTTCGATGTGATCAACTCCGCCGGCCATTGGAACCCCCGTACGATGGCCCCGTCCGGGTTATATCTCGAGAGAAAAAAGAGGTTCCGCATCCAACGCGGAACTCGCGTGGAGGTCTTTAGCGTGAACCCTCTCAAAGCTGCTGTCCCGGACACTCTTCCGCAGGAGCCCTGCGGTCCCCTACCCCGTACTCTACCTCCCTGACCCTCTATCTCTCCGTCCCGTATACTCTCTCCTCCCCCATGTCCACTACTCCCAATTGCAACTACCCCCTCATCAACCTCAAACACTATAGCCGGAAGACATACCTATTTTTCTCCTGTGCTCCCTGTATATATCAGCCGTAGTGAATGCAATGTTCATTTTTCTGACCGTTTGGTTATTCATGTTTTTTAAACATCAAATAATCCTTCGACATCGCTCCACGCCACCTCTGGACTAGCTGGGTGGTACCATTTTAACGAACTCAAATAAGACGATAGCTGGGAATGCGACGCGCGTACTCCCTTCTAGTCCCGACCAAAATAAACACACATTGAGAAGGGAAGACGGATTTCTACAGGGAGGTTGAAGATTATTTATGTCAATGGAAATAGGAGTTGGAGTTCTCACTGTTATGACCCGGAAGGAAGGTAGGACAAGAAGAGAGCCGGTTCGGAAGACAATCACTTTATTGGAACTTGCGGACAGGAGGGGGTTACAACTCGTAAGAAAGGTGTGCTATTTATATTGGCTCCCGTGCGTTCTGGAACATTCCGTCCAATGACGTGCCAGCCGTTGAGGGCGTTCTAGAATGTTCCTGCCCCGAGCGTGCTGGTCGCTGATTGGCCACCGCGTGCGCGATAGCCCCCGGCGGAAACGTCTGGAATGTTCGACCATCCATTGATTGGACCGCACACGTGAGCAAAGCCACTACGCGTGCTCGGCGCTGCAGTGCGCGCCGGTCGGTCGTCTAACTTCACGCGTGACTCACGGCGCCGACTTGGTCCCCTGTTCAGCGCCTTAGGCCGCGGCTCTACGCCGCTTTCTCTCTCCATAACACTCACGGGTTCGGGAACACGGGGAGGTTCTATGGCAGGGACAGATTGGTTTGGAGGATAGCGTTGGTGGGTCAGGCCAGCACAGAGGCGATGCAGGAACGAAGATTGTGTCCAGAAGGCGTCCCCCTGTCCAAGGTGCCCAGGAGTCGATTGTCCTCGGTATTTATGGGGCCTCCGGGCAATGTGATTAGGTTTAATAGGTAAACCAATAGGCAAGAATAAGCATAACGATGAAAGGTAGGATAACGCAGGGGATTAGCCAACTGGGGCCGCTAATTACCAGTTTTGCGATGGCTAATATGAGTAAACTTGGAAGGCGGCTGGTGCGGCGCCGTGGTGTCGGTGGGCAACCGGCAACGCGATAGGAGTTTAGCGTGACTAAACCAAGATCGATACAACTGCGGCTACATCCATATACCGTGACTGTCCGCTCCCTTCACCTTCGCTTTGTCTGCCTGCCCTTTTGTTCGGCCCACTCTCCCTGACGATCTGCTGCTGGGATCACGAGAGGCTTGTCACTAGTGCAGCAACCGGGCATACAGGGCTCTCCGGTAGTCTGCTTTCTTATGATTCACGACCCATGCTCAAAGGTTCGCCTTCGTCCGACGTCTCAGAGTCGTCCCCGTGCTATGTGCTCTCGCTAGAATTTTCTTTAGCCATCGCAAATCTTCAACAAATCAATAGTCCAATGAAAGGTTGAGATATAGAGGTGTATTGTAAAGGAAAAAAAGGTAATTTTAACAGAGAGAAATTCAAACTCTTCACACGGGTTCCAAGAATTATAATGGAAGATCCGAGGAGGGGGTGGTGTTGGAGGCTGTCATTGTTGTGTGTTTGAACTAAAAAGTGCAAGAGAACACTTATCCGTTAGCTCCTGACTTCAGCTTCTATCTTTTTGTCCTTCCTGGCTTTAAAAAAATCGGTTATCGTTCGGTTCAGTCGCTACAGTAACGTACTACGAGTGCGACGGGGTTGTTTGAACGAGCGGAGGTCACTTTTGACGCGGATTCCGGATGGGTTCAGTGTGATCGTCTACCAGTGAAGATGGCCTGCGTCCCTCACCTTCCCACCGCTGACACTGCTCCCCTCGCTCTCACCGTCCGTCCGTATCTCGTTTCCTTTATCGTCAGCACACTCGCCGGCCCTTACCGGCAGTTGCCGACAGCCCTGAAATCCCCACCGGCGTCTAACTGATATGACGTAACCACCTCCTACTCCAAATGGATCACTTGTACGGTACTCAGCTATTTCCTTGTATTCGTTATTTTTCAATTTTTCTACTCCATCCATTTGTTATCGTAACATAGATTTCATATACTAGAAACCCCTATTCTTGTTGCATGACTATTTGCTTGTCTAATTGGGTGTTTAACAAATCTGTCCAGTGTTGCCTAACCGATACGCTACCCTAGGTGGTCTATTCGACCGCGTATGTGCTAACCTCAACGTCTTTGGCTGCTATATTACACCATCCTCTCGAGAGCTCGAGGCCAAGCAACGCTGCCTCTCCTCCGATTGGCTGACAGACACTCGCTGGACGTCAATAACCTCAACGGCAGACAAGGACAAAGAATTTGCCAGGAGAGACTGCTTGCGAAGCCTCTTGTATGTCTCACACGTCAGTTAAGTTGTCCAATTCAGTCCATCTTCCCTGAATTCTAATTTAGGAATGTTCATGTTGTCGGCCATACCCTTTTGATAAAAGTGACCTAAAGGTCACATCAAGAACCCACCGCGACCAGGCTCTCAGTGCACCAGTCAGCTACTTACCACACACCCATAGCCGCGTGACTGCGTAGTTTAAGTTAAGGCGTCGCTCGGCATCCTTCCAAGTCACGGCTTTTAGCTCACTGTCAGTCTTAAGTGCGTCAGAATGTCTATAAAGTGGAATTATGCGCCGAGAGTCGACATCACTCACTCTGCCATGTTCCGTACACCAGTCGACTGTCCGAGACTGCCAACCAACTGATGCTGAGATTGGAAGCGGTGGTTGACAGAACTGCGAACAGCTGGTCTATGCGTGCGCATGCACACACGAACTGGCCCCAAGCGCAGACAACAAAATTTCACACATAATTGTCCCGACCGCTCCAATCTCACGTGCAGCAGAGGATCCGCGTGAAGAATGGAGACTAAGATCACACTTCCCATTTACTTGCGAAGTGCAGGTGGTGAAGGAATGATAGGAGTGT